CTCCGGCCGGCCCGGGCTGTGTGCCCTGCGCCCATGGGGGCCACAGTGAGGCAGCACAGTCGCGGGCGCAGGCGGCACTGTAAAGTCAAGTCCTGTTAGGCCGCCTTCGCGTGAACACCGCTGGCAGTGACCACAGCTCCGCGCCCCGGGCGCCGGGTCCCAGGCAGCGCGGCGGCCCAGGCTGGCGACCGTACCGCCCCGCCCCGTGGCTGGGTCCAGGGCCTGTGCTCGCCTGCGCCTAGAGGAAGGGCAGCGCGTGCGGGGCGCAGGAGCCGCGGTGTGGGCTGTGGGAGAGGGGCCGCGGGGGCAGCGCGCACACCCAGCGACCGCAGGAGGCCGGGCCAGACCGCGCAGAGCCCTTCCCGGCCGTTCCTGGGCTGCAGCGCGCTCTGTGCTGGCACTTTTGGTTTCTCTCTCCTGGCAGAGACTATTCAGTCTATGATCTGTTTCCATCCTAGCAAGGTCCTTAACCAGGGGGAAAGCGCAGTCAAGACACCCCAGGATACAGCTTTGAGCTCTCTCCCTTTTTGTAAACAACGCTGTCATTTCCGAATTGAAAGCTAAAAGGAGGAAATTGTGAAGTTCAAGGGGAAACCCTTTCTGCCCTGTAGCCTACAAGTGTCCCTGCCCCACCTGGCCGCGGCCAGCAGGGCCTGACCTCACACTGGGCTGGGTCGCCATGGCCCCCTGTGGCCGCCTGCACTGAGGACCCGTGTCCTGTGGGCACCAGTGGCTCCCCCAGCACCCGCCTGGCCTGCCGGGTTGGGGCTGTGACCCCTGACCTCGCCATTTGCATTTCAGGGGGCGAATCGGGGACGCAGGGCAGCTGTGGGCACTGGTGACGGAAACAGCAGCCTACACGGCTCGAGCTCGCTGAGGGGCCGCCAGCCTCGGGGACCTCGGTCATGTGTGGGCTGCCGGGTGTGTGACCGCGAGCGTGTGGTGAGTGATCACGAGCGCATGGCGGGTGAGGCCTGGCGGTCCTTGCGACGTGTGTACGGGACCGGGTGAGGGCATGCGTGGGAGCGTGCCTGAGAGCGGGCACCAGGGCAGCGGGACCGCAGCTGCTTCCCTCAGGGACGTGGTGGCCGCGCTGGCTTCAAGGTCGCGGTGACAGCGGCGGGGACGCTGGGCTCGGTGTGGCCCGGGACCCCCGAACCCACTGCCTTCCAGCCGATGGAGGAGACGCCCGGGCCGGGACAGCCCTGGGGGTGTCGGGGCCCAGCCACCCCGGGACCTGGCCTCGGGCCTCCCCTAGAGACGCCCGCAGCCCTTGGCCCAGTGCCCGCGTTGGTGGCACCCGGGGCGGCAGGCTCGGCCCCTTGGGGACGTGGACTCCACACAGCACTCAGACGGCGAGGGGCCGGAGGAGCAGCGTCCGCAGCCGCGTCTGGCGGGGAGGCCACGGGGAGCACCGGGGCGTTTCGGAAAGGTCGCGGAAGGACGTCCTGTCGGGCGGCCACTCAGTGCCGGCGAGGGCATCGCAGGAGGGGGCGCCGTGCCAGAGCCCAGCCCGGCTCCCGCTCCACCCCTTGCTCCGCAGAGCCGGCGTCCACGCTGGCGGCTGGGGTCCCCGCGGCCCGACCCCCGCTCTAGCTGCGCCCCATCTCAGCTGGCAGGCCCAAAGCACCCCGGGCTCACCGCCGCTTTCCCCGTCACCGGGACAGGACTAGGAGGCGGTCCTGGGGTTCCTGTGCTGACCCCGGGCGCCTGCCTGGAGGACGTCTCCCAGGAAAGGCCTGGCTGTGACGGCGCCGCTACGACCCAGCGGAGGACGTGCAGCACTCGGGCCTGCTCTGCTCTCCCAGGTCCACAGGCCCCGCCGAGCGGTGCTGGGCAGGGCTCAGAGCCAGGTCCCCTGGGCCATCCCCTCGGGCAGCTCTTTCGAGGGCGGGGCACCCAAGGACCACAGCGTGGCGCCGGGCAGGTGCCTGTGAAGCCAGCTCAGGTCTGGGCTGAACCTCGCCTGCTCTGTGTGCCGTCCACATCAGGGACGGCTGCGGGGCCAGGCGCACGGCGGAGCGCAGGTTCAGCACCTGGACAGGGCTCCCCGCCGCCCCACCGGGCTGAACCGCAGGGTGTAGAGCTGCCAGCACCGCAGCAGCCGAAGCGGCCGACCCTGGAGCCCCAGGCTGACTCCCTCGGCGCGACCCCAGTGAGCAGTGGCTCGCCCAGCCACCCTCGGCCGCCTCAACTCGGAGGTGCATGATTCCTTCTTGGCTCCCGGCAAAATCACGCACAGACCTGGGTGGGGTCACAATCTGAACAGACGGTTTCTTGGGGGTCGCCAGTTGGCCCAGGGTACATGGTGAATTACGTAACATTAAAATATGTACGTTGCTCGTTGTGGTGGCACATGCCTACTAGCCCAGCTATTCTGGAGGCTGAGGCAGGCGAATCCCAAGTTTGAGGCCAGCCTGGGCTACTCAGCAGACGGTCTCAAAATAAAACAATAGGAGTGCCCTTGGGCCCAATTGCCAGTACTGCCGAACACCCCAAGAGCAGGTGAGTGACACTGGGGGCCTCCCCATGCGCAAGTCATCAACCGCCGGTCTGCCGCGGGGGCCGCAGCGCCGCCCTCAGAGCCAGCCCAGGCAGGCGGCCGCTAACTCGGCTCACTGCGGCCGAGGCCGAGCTGCGCGGCGGTGCAGTGCTCACGCCAGCTAGAAGACCAGCTTGCAGGCCGGGAAGGCGTCGTCCTCCGTGAACACCATGCTGTCGCTGCCCAGCACGCGGATGCCCAGGGCCGGGTGCTGCGCGTGCGTCTCCTCGTACCACTTGCGCATGGCCGCCGAGTCAAAGGTGGGGATCAGGGTCACCTGCGGGTGGGACCGACAGCCCGGTCACGGGCGCTCCGGCCTCCCCGGCCTCTGCGTGGCCACTCGGCCCCGGGCTGTGTCCACACGCAGCCCCAGACCCTCGGGGAGACCCCAGCCGCCAGCCGCCAGCCCCACCTGCACAGCCCCGCTCCCCCCGGCTGCCCTCACACGGAAGCAGCCCAGAGCCACGGGCAGGTGGGGAGTCACCCGCAGCCTGGAGTCCTGCAGGCCCCGCGGGCGCAGCCGGGTGGGCAAAGCCCGTGCCCGGGGCCCCGAGTGGCCGCGCACCTGCAGGTCTCGGTCCCACTGCCGCTTGGCCTCCAGCAGCGCATCCAGCACAGCCCGCAGCCCCTGCTCCCGGTGCTGGTCCTGCCCGCTGACGACGTAGCACAGCGCACGCACTCGCAGGAAGAACTCGGCGTCCAGCGGGCCCGCGCTGCTGCCGGGCAGGTAGGCCAGGTCCAGGTAGGCCGGGGGCCCCGGCGGGCAGGCAGCCACTGAGGGCCGGCTGCTGACTGGACCTGTGAGCAGAATATGAGGGTCACCAGCTGGACCCTGCAGTCCTCCTGCCTCAGCCTCCCGGAGTGCGAGGGTTTCAGGCTGTGCCTCCCCACCCGCCCACGTCCACCTTCTCTCTACAAACACCCCGGGAACCCTGACTGTGTGCCAGAAGCCCAAGGGGGATGGGGAGGGGACCCCAGGTCAGGGCAGGAAGACCCATGGGACGGTCTTCCCGGCGCACTCAGGCGACGCAGGCATCTTCGAGTACCGCACCCCAAGTGACCCATGCTGGGTGTCACCCACTCGGGGTGCCCAAGCAGCCCGCAGCCCTGTGGTGATGACCGGGCACAGCGTGGAGCAGGAGGGAACCAGGCCGGGCAGCACTGCACACCAGAGGGGACCTGGGTGGGCCTTGGCGCAGGCAGCAGGCGGCTCCACAGCTGGGGACCCAGTCCTGGCCCCTGCACACAGTGCGCCTCAGGACGTCACGATCTCAGCAGCACTTCCCTAAAAGCCACACGAGGAAGGCGCCGCGAGCCATGGACAGCCGGACACACAGCCGGGGCCTCCCACCCCCAGCCGGTGACTCAGCCTCCAAGAGGAAGGGTGCTTGGCCACAGGCCACACCACGCTGATCCCGGCCTTCACAGACACTGCAGCTGCACGGCCACAAGCTCCGGGGAGTCATCACAGAGACAGAAAGCAGGGCGCCGGAGCAGCAGACAAGAAACGAGGAGCGAGGGCCCCAGGGGCAGTTCTAGCTGTGCCACTGCAGTTCTGGAGGCGGCCGGTGGCACCAGCGGTGAATGCCACCCAATCATACATTTAAAAATGGTTGCCAGAAAGGCCGGGCATGGTGGTGCACACCTGTGATCCCAGCACTCAGGAGGCTGAGGCAGGAGGATCACTGCGAGTTGAGACCAGCCTGGGCTACACAGCAAATTCAAGGCCAGGCTGAACTGCACAGTGAGACCTGTCTCAAAAACACAAAAACAAAACAAAAAACCATTGCCAGGGGTAGTGGGCACACCTTAATCCTGGCACACTGGGAGGTGCTGGAAGACTGTGAGTTCCAACTCAGCCTGGAACTCAGCAAGACCCCGGCAGGAAAAACCGAAAGGCCTCAGATGTAGCGAGATGCACAGGCCCCGGGGCCCACACCCAGCACCACCTGTAAGAAGGTCCAGGCGGTAAGCTTCATGCATTCTAACAGTTTCTTAAAACTGAGAAAAAAGGCCAGGGATAGAGCTCAGGGGCACAAGCACCTGCCTGGCAAGTGCAAGGTCCTGAGTTCAATTCCCAAAAAAAAAAAAAAAAAAAAAAAAAAAAAAAAAAAAAAAAAAACTGAGAAAAAATTAAAAGCACAGTAGACCAAAGACATTCACCTCAGCCAGGTGAGCCACGTGGGCCCACAGGAGCCTGCTGTCCCCTCCCTGAGGGACCCCAGAGAGCGGTGCAGGGGTCAGCACCCGCATGGCCCTGAGGACCCTGTGCCAGGGAGGGGACCTGGGTGCAAGGCCAAGCGCGACACACTTCGCATCCCGCGCACAGTGAGGACTCACACGAGGGCTGCGGCTGCAGGCTGGGACTTCACCGCGGGCACGTCCTGGTGCCCATCTGCACCCTACACAGGAGCTGGCCACCACAGGACCCAACACAACGGGCTCAGCAAGCACACATGCGCCCTCGGGAGCCTCTCCGGCACCAAGCTTCCTGACACCCTCGTCCCTTCTAACCACCGAGCGTCATCTGCATGGAACCCGCCCATCCTCCACCGGCTCAGCCCACTCTGCATGACGTAGGACACCCAAAAAGCTATGCCGTCACTCACAGAACAGTGGAAAGATCAAATCTGTGCACATTAGCTGTCTGTTTTTCTTCTGCCCCTGGAGACTGACCCAGGTCCTTCACACCGAGCTGCACCCCAGCCTCTGCTACCTTTTGAGACCAGGTCTCAAGTTGACCTGGTGGGACCCAAACTTGCAGTCCTCCTGCCTCAGCCTCCCAGAGTGCTGGGAATGCAAGTGTGCGCCACCACACCTGGGGTGTTTTTCTTTTGGGTTTTTATTTTTCCTTTTTTTTTTTCTTTTTTTTAGTTTCTTTGATCTGGGTTAGTTTAATCTCTGCATTTGGGACCTGAGGATATGCAAGGCTATGCAAGACTATTAAAATTACAGCTTGGTACAGTGGCGCACACCTGTAATCTCAGCACTTGGGAGGCTGAGGCAGGAGGATCATTGCAAGTTTGAGACCAACCTGGGCTACAAAGTGAGCTCAAGGCCAGCCTGAACTACATAGCAAGACCCTGTCTCAAAAAAACAAAACAAGGGGCTGGGGATTTAGCTCAGCGGCAAAAGCACCTGCCTGGCAAGCGCAAGGTCGTGAGTTCGGTT